AGAGAGAGAGAGAGAGAGAGAGAGAGAGAGAGAGAGAGAGAGAGAGAGAGAGAGGTCCCAAAAGTGCAGGGGACTAAGAGATTGGTGGCATGAGCGGAGGCAGAGCAGATGGGCTACATACCCAATTTCATCCAACCAAAAAACATTAGGACAAGCTTTTAACACTGAAAGATTGGAAGAGAGATTGAGCACTACCTACCGCGAGAATAATGCCCTCCATCAAAATCAAATTCCATCCTCCAGCGAGTGCTTCACCCAATGCTGCATTTGCGCCGATCTTTCATGGACCAGAAAAAGACAATAAAGAGGTCAAGAGGAGAAATTAGACTTTGTCTAACACAGAACAGGAGCAAGGTCACAGCAGCAGTGGAAAAGGGACTACCTCAGGGAGCACACGGAAGGAAAGGACGTACTTGCCAGGTGGTTGAATGGCACACACACGCAAACCATTTTTACTTGTGCTAGTGTCTTCTTTGTGGTAATCTTCTTTCTCACTAGCAGCATTAACGGCCATTTGTGTTTTACTCTTTATTGGAGCTGTTATGGAGGTCCCTACCCTACCCCGGATGGAGGGCCCCGGTCCCGACGTTGTGGAGGTCCCTACCCTACCCCGGATGCTATGGAGAGTCCTACCCTACCCGAGATGCTATGAAGGGCCCCTGCAACCATCAGCTGCCATGGAGGGCCCAACCCAGTACAGATGCTATGGAGGGCACTACCCAGCATCAGATGCTATGGAGGGCCCTATCCCAGCATCAGATGCTATGGAGGGCCCTACCCTAGCATAGGATGCTATGGATGGCCCTACCCCAGCATCAGAACTAGGGAGGGCCCTACCGTAGCATCAGATGAAATGGAGGGCCCTACCCTAGCATCAGATGCTGTGGAGGGCCCTATCCCAGCCTCAGATGCTATGGAGGGCCCTACCCTAACATTGGATGCTATGGAGGGCCCTATCCTAGCATCAGAATTATAGAGTACCCTACCCGAGCATCAGATGCTATGGAGGGCCCTACCCTAGCATCAGATTCTGTGGAGGGCCTTACCCTATTGGTAGTCTGAGATGTTATGGAGGCCCCTACTCTAGCACAGGTGCTGTGGAGGGGCCTACCCCAGCATCATATCTGATTCATGCATCTAGTGGGAGCCACTAAGCTTTTTTTTTTTTTTTTTTGAAACAATCCCCCATCAGTGTTAGTGGTGCTGATACGAGCAGACACCACTAGCACCTGGGGAGAGGCTCCATCTATTGGTGGGGAGCATCACCTGCTGGAAAGCGGGTCCAGCGTCCCTTATACAGATTGAAATCAGAGTACATCAGAGTACATCAGCGTACATCGGGAAGCAGTTGAGGAATGTTCCTGCCAGCATTGATTACCCTGAGATCCAGGGGATTGACTGAGCAGTATACTGAGGGGAAGGGGGAACCTCTTCACCCTGAAACCAGTGTCAGATACAACGCTACATGCTAGTACCTCCCTCCCCCTAAAACCTGCTGAGTCCATGCTAGCTGGAAACCGGGTCCAGCGTCCCATTACCTGCCTGAGTGCCATGCCTGAGTAACAGCATGGCTTTTCGTGATAGCAAAGGTGTCATCCCCCTTGTCATCCCCCTTAGTTGAATACGGACCCAGCTTGACCCAAGGCTTTCATTGTTATTGTTCTTTTTTGGGGACATCCTTTTGCAGGAGCTATAACATAATTCTGAACCAGTACTTTTCTCTCAAATCAAATCCACAGGTAACTTTAGTGCATACTAGAAGACAGTGCAAATGATTTTACTAGAGGCAACATAATCTGCATCAAGCAATGTTCAATGGTTATGTCCATTGGGATTGCTTCTATAAAAACGAGCAGCGTCTACCATTCAGATTGCCTCTGAATGAGCAGCTTTTAAGGAACATCGTGAGAATTCGCGTAAAGAGGAGAGGTTCTTACGTCCTCGGAAGAAAGAAGTACGGGGAAAGACGAGAGTTCATTAAAAAATAATAAAAAATACAAATGATAAAACTATGTAGGAGGAGGATGGGTCAGATGAAGAAGAAACAGTGAAAAGTGGAAGTGGAAGGGGAATAGGTCAAGCCAGTCTGACAGCTGACCTAACATCGATTGGTAGCAAGGTTATTGCCTTTCCCCATGGCTCACCCCTTTGCTATCCCCACCGAGTGGGTTTACGTAAAGACAATGCACCTGTCAGCAACCATTTCTGGCAATCAAAATATGTACTCTATTACGGCTTCTAACCAACAACCTCTCCTCTCCCTAGTCCCCCTTCCTTTCTTTTACTCCCTCACTGCCTCTTCCTGATCCTCCACAGATTGCCGCACCCCATCTCACCAGCTATGGCCACTGTTAACCTCCTGGCTATGGAGAAATACCCCAAATACCCCTGTGCACAGAAAGAGCATTTCAGTCATTTGAATGGATTCACAGGTAAGCTGATAGCTACGGACTCATTTTCTCTTCGTCGATGCTGCGAAAGCACCTTTCTCGCCAAGGGTTCAAGAAATCCTCGAAAGGTTTGGACTCTGCAGTACCCCAAGTTGGTAAGTTTTCCTGCAAGAGAACTGAGCATGAAGATGACATCATGAGCACAAGGAAAGAGTACAAGTGGGAGTAGGAGTGTGAATATGAGTTTGATTAGAGTGTGCGTAGGAGTGTGAGTAGGAGTAGGAGTGGGAGTGTGCGTACGAGTGTGAGTAGGAGTGTGAGTAGGAGTAGGAGAGGGAGTGGGTGCC